GCAACTTTCAAAGGAAAGAACAGAGCCCCAACACCCACCTTGTTCTCATTATACACCCATGTCTCCTTAGTGTTTGTTTGTATTTGTTGTCTGACAGAAAACAAAGAAAAATTCCCTGATATAAAATTCACCTCTGCAATGCCTTTTAATAGTTTTATCAAGACATTTCTCATGGTATACACACACACACGTAAACTGTATATGGGAAAACAGAGGTGAAGAAAGAGGAATTTTATTTGTTTTCTGTGGGTGTTTTTTTGGGGGGAATTTGGATCTTTCAGATTAATTTAAGAAGTGCCTCTGGTGGTTTGCATCTTCCACATTAGCCTGGTCTTAATTTTGACTTGGTCTCAACCCCTCAAAGTCTTGGTCTCGTCTTGGTCTGGATACCTTTTGGACTTGTTCATGACTTGGTCTTGGTTTTGGGGATCTTGACAACAATGCTGCTACATGCTGAAAACCTGCTTAGACTCAGTGGTGAATTTGTTAAAACAGTGGTACAAGGTGGACTCAGTCAGTCAGTCAGTTTAATTATTCTCCTCAACTCTGTCATAGTTTACCTTTAGGTAGCAGGGGAATGAGGGTCTTGAATGTGCCGCAGTTGTCAAGCCAGCCATGCAGACACAGAACAGGATAACCGTGATCAGGACCCCAGACTTTCCCTCTGATCTCTCCCCATGGCATCGGGACAGACAGCTCTGAAATTGACACATTGTACGAAACAGCTACATCACAAAACCAAAAACTAATGAACGTGATGAAATGTTAAAACTCCACTTGGCCTGTGTTGGGTCATTGAGAAATCCTACCTGCTTGTTCTACTGTAGATGACATTACAAAGTCTGATGATCCTCAGTTTGTGTCTCTGATAGTTTAAAGAAGAAACCTGCCTGCAAAGGAAAAATATCCAGCAAAAGTAAAGTGACTACAATAAACCTAATCTAAACAAAGCTTTAAATAAATCCTGAAATGCCTATTTAACAAATGAAACATGACTGCACATGCTGACCTTTGGAACCTGAAGGCATCATAAGTATTTTCTGCAACCAGTGATTTAAATGGACATTCATAATGACAGGCTGTACTTATGGCCAATCATCATACACTGCAGAGGCGGATCCTACCTGGCAGCAGCAAGGTGACAACCCTACTTTACTGTGCTTGTCTGTGTGCCCTCAGTAACACCTGTCAGGCAGTCTCCTGCTGTGAAGAACAGTACTCTCTGTAATGAGATAATTTCAAGTACACAGCTCCCCCATCCAACTGTGCTGTAAATTAAGTGTTGCCTTTATAGGTTCAACCAATCCACTGTTTTCAAGAAACAAGTTCAAAAGAAAATTCCCTACACAAGATTAAAGGTCTGTGTGGCCTGAACCCAACGATCACCTCTGTGATAGGAAAACAATCTTTTGCAGTTAGGGTGCAGGACATCATTTTCAGCTTTGGGCAAACATTTTTAACTCTTACTACATAACAACTAACATCAGCCCTTTTTACAAACTATCATGAAACCATCAACAAACAGAACAATCTATTCCCATATGAGATCATCTGGACAGAATTTAAGAGGGATTAACCACATCAAAGGCTTCTAAGAGATCGATCATCACAATGGGATGTGGATGGGATGCAGGGAGATGTCCAGAGCAGACAGTGTGTGATTTACAGTCAGTGTATGATATAAAACCTGAAGCCAGACTGAAAAGAGCCTCACACACAAGGAACCTGTAAATGTATTGTGTAAGCTGAACATTAACTGGAGATTCTAGAGTGTTTCTCAGACTGAGGGGTTTAAGAGATCAGGCTGTACTTGTTCGTTCACTTAGCTCCACTTTTAGAAAGAAAATAAAGGCTTGTTGAGTCTTTTCCCAGTAGAATTCATAGAGGAATCACAGACTTCAAAATTTCTTTACATTATTTTTTTTAATTTAAGCAAGTATGTTCAATAACAAGTACATTTTAAAAATTTTCTTTTATGTTATAAAGAATTAGCTTCAAGGCAAAACAGATTTAACACAGTGTGCTTTCATTGATTGATTTTATTTTTTTTCTAAATTTAAGAAGCTCTTTGCAAAATTCAGAGTTGGGCTTTATTGTTCAATGTATGTTTTCAAGTGTGTTGATGTGTGAGAACCGTCATGTTTATTCTATGTTTTAAAGGTAGACTGTTGGTGCTTTAGGGCACAGCTAATGGGGATCATAACAAATGAACAAATAAACGAGTGAATGAGCTGTCTGGACACGGTTCTCAACATGGAGGTTGCTGAGCCCGCGGCTAGTAGCTAACGGTGCTAACTTCCTAATCAATGCTAAAGAACAGCAACAGTGTTGACAGTGTTAACCGGCAGGGACCAATGGTCAGCCATATGAGCGCAGAGGAGCTAGTCAGCAGGATATGCACATGCAGCTGGACCATCTTACCACAAGAAACCACAGAGAAACTCAGATAATAACACACTCAGAGGTAGCATGACTTCATTCTCTGCTCAGGCCGCCTTTACGCCACTATATCTTTACACAGCAAACAGTGGTTTGCTGCTATATTAAAAGACAGTACACAAAGGTGCATTCAGTACCAAAATTCATCAGCATATCACAATGAAGTCACATGACTTATTTTCATTGTGGTCCTGAAGTCTAGGCAGGGGGTAGACAGGAAAAAGGAATGACACGTGTGTGCTATTAATATCACATGCACAATGCTTTGTGTGGCTATCGTTGAGACTGTCATTTTCAGGATGCATCAGAATCTGTGTGGCATACCACCTCTGCTCAACTGAAATGAAAAAGTAAAAACTCCAAAAACACTTCTAGTGACTTTTTCTCCTCTCCATGCAGCCTGGAAGAAGGTAAAGTTGTGATGGACGTCCCTCCTCTGCTTCTACAGGACACTTTGAAATCAGCACTTCCTCAAAACTTTGGTGAGGTCAATCCAAAGACAAAGTGTCAGCAAGAATATCCAAACTCCTTGATAAGGAATCCAGGATATTAGCTACATCGTAACTTCTTTACCACTATGATAACACCTGCATAACCTGGTACAGTGGTACAACTGAAAGAACAAAGAATAAGCTTCAAATAGCTCAGAACAAACTAACAAGTGTCGTACTTAGTTCAAGAACACATATATGGTAAGCCCAAACCATATTTAAGAGTTTAAGTGGCTCCCTGTTGAAGGTAGAACTCAACAGTTATAACTTGTTATGGTCTATAAGATTCTTCTGCCATAGACTTCAGGACCGCAATGGAAATAAGTCGCGTGACTTTGGTGCGACATCCTGATGATTTTAGTACTGTAGTGTATTTAATCAAATAAAATCAATCAATCAAAAATTAACTTCCTTAAAAATGTTAACTCTTACTAAACTAAAAAGTTGGACCAACAAATTAAAAAAGAAACAGTTAAGGCAGAAGCTGATATGTACAGTCAGGTCCATAATTATTTGAACAATGATACAGTTGTCATCATTTTGGCTCTGTACACCACCACAATGGGTTTTAAATGAAACAATGAATACCTGCTTAAAGTGCAGACTCTCAGCTTTCATTTAAGGCTTTTTTCAAAAATGTAGTATGAACCGTGTAGGAATGACAACCATTTCTTCACACAGTCCCCCAACTTTAAGGGCTCATAAGTATTTGGACAAACTAACATAATCATCAATTAAACAGTCAGTTTTAATACTTGGTTGCAAATCCTTTACAGTCAATGACTGCCTGAAGTGTTGGACACATAGGCATCATCAGATGCTGGGTTTCTTCCCTGGTGATGCTCTGCCAGCCCTTTACTGCAGCCGTCTGCACTTCCTGCTTGTGTTTTGGGTGTTTTGCCCTCAGTTTTGGCTTCAGCAAGAGAAACGCATGCTCAGTTGGATTCAGGTCAGATGATATGACTTGGCCATTGCAGAACATTCCACTTCTTTGCCTTAAAAATGTCTTTGGTTGCTTTTGCAGTATGCTTCAGGTCAATGTCCATCTGCACTGTGAAGCATCGTCCAATGAGTTTTGAAGCATTTGGTTGAATCTGAGCAGATAATGGTGCCCCAAACACTTCAGCTTTCATCCTGCTGCTCTTGTCAGCAGTCACATCATCAATAAATACAAGAGAACCAGTTCCACTGGCAGCCATACATGGCCATGACATAACAGTACCTCCACCATGCTTCACTGATGAGGTGGTGTGCTTTGGATCATGAGCAGTTCCTTCCCTTCTTCCTTCTCTTGTCTTCCCATCATTCTGGTAGTTGATCTTTGTTTTATCTGTCCATAGTATGCTGTTCCACAACTGTACAGGCTTTTTAGATGGTTTTTGACAAACTCTAATCTGGCCTTCCATTTTTAAGGCTAACCAATGGTTTGCATCTTGTGATAAACCCTCTGTATTTATTCTAGTGAAGTCTTGTCTTGCTTACAAGAGCAGCAGGATGAAAGCTGAAGTGTTTGGGGCACCATTATCTGCTCAGATTCAACCAAATGCTTCAAAACTCATTGGACGATGCTTCACAGTGCAGATGGACATTGACCTGAAGCATACTGCAAAAGCAACCAAAGACATTTTTAAGGCAAAGAAGTGGAATGTTCTGCAATGGCCAAGTCATATCATCTGACCTGAATCCAACTGAGCATGCGTTTCTCTTGCTGAAGCCAAAACTGAGGGCAAAACACCCAAAACACAAGCAGGAAGTGCAGACGGCTGCAGTAAAGGGCTGGCAGAGCATCACCAGGGAAGAAACCCAGCATCTGATGATGCCTATGTGTCCAACACTTCAGGCAGTCATTGACTGTAAAGGATTTGCAACCAAGTATTAAAACTGACTGTTTAATTGATGATTATGTTAGTTTGTCCAAATACTTATGAGCCCTTAAAGTCGGGGGACTGTGTGAAGAAATGGTTGTAATTCCTACACGGTTCATACTACATTTTTGAAAAAAGCCTTAAATGAAAGCTGAGAGTCTGCACTTTAAGCAGGTATTCATTGTTTCATTTAAAACCCATTGTGGTGGTGTACAGAGCCAAAATGACGACAACTGTATCATTGTCCAAATAATTATGGACCTGACTGTATGTGCAAAAGTATGTTCATTTTCCCCCTGTTCTCATTTGTCAATAAAGTTGTAAAACACTTAAGGTTGATCCCTCTGCATATGCCGTCCAACCAACTTGTTTCAACAGGCTATTCATCACATTACGGAAGAAACTTGAATGCTATTGTTCATGTAATCACACACAGTTTGTTCTTATGAACAAGAATATAACATATCTCCAATGTGACAGAGTGAGTGTGTTTGTAGTTTATAACTTGTGCTCTCTGGTGTTTGGACGGGGCAACACTTTGGTTCGCAGGAAGTCAGACACAAGTGGAGCGACGACTTCTGGCTTGTTCAGATGAACGTGATGATCGCCTGGTACCCTCGCCACCGTGTCCTGAAACCAACGGAAACAGAGAGGGATACTACTAACCGCAGATACGCAGAATCAATGACCATTAAAGGGTAACTTCTGTATTTTTCTTGAACCCTTTTTTCCACATTTTTGTGTCTAAGTGACTAATGGGAACAACAGTTTTTCAAACTGCTCCATTACTGAGGCTCAAGGCATTTGTGCACTGTGAATTGGCGCCCTCTAAAAGTGCTTGTTTTTGCCACTGACAGGCTCAGATTATTATTTTGTCTAAAAGAATCAGATCCTTTTTGTTTAACCAGAAACAGACCTGAAATCTCTAAACCCACCAGATGCCATTTAAAAAAACAGTAAGTCAGGGCGCAGACAGAGCCACAGACAGCATTTTCACATCTAACTGGGTGAATTAAGGGTCAATTTGAACCAAATCAGAGTCTGTGATTGTTGGAACAGTGAAAAGGTGAACCAAGAAGGTTTCTGTGAGTTTTATTTTGTTTCTATTAACTTAATTGAAGCCTGTCTTGTGGGTTTGGCAAGAGTGATTTTGGGGCTGTTCCGGGTAAAACAAAAGGATCTTACTCTTTAACAAAAAGGTCGACCTCTGTAGGGAATTCTTTCCATAATGTTGTCAGATATTCATAATAACAATATGAGCCTGTCAGTGGCAAAAACAAGCACTTTTAGTGGAAGTAAATTGACGGTTGCCTGCAGGGATTTAGCTGCTGGTTTGAGCCCTCTCGCTCAATACAGTACCAGTTTCAAAAATTGCTCTTCCCACTAGTCACTAAGACAGAAAGACATAAGATATAGTCCAGGTTGAAAAATACCAAAGTTTCCCTTTAAGATATTTTTTTTGATTATATTTTCATTCTGTCCCAAGTTGCACACTCACATTTCTGTCCTGGAAGCCTTGGAGAAGTGTTGGGCAAAATTTTCTTGTAGCTGGCTCAGAAAAGATTTTATCGAAGCCTTCTTCTGCTCTGGAGACAGAGATTTTGAAAGTACAACGTGAGAAAAGTCCACATACTGTAGGATGAAGAGTATGTTTATATAGACTGAGATTTTTGACTTTCATACATAGTGGGGTGGGAATGTGACTGCCACATGGTTTGTTAGCTGTATATCTGCTCAGGACATGAGCCAGTTCTACATGTCAGTTGTTCTAAATGTGTCTGCTGTCACACTGTCATACTGCTGTCATAACATTATATTGTAAACATTACTTTCAGTGTAGTGATCAATGTCTTACAGAACAACTAGAACAGAGGCTTGAATCTTCGACTGCATCACCAGACTCTGCTCCAAAGTGTTTAGCAATATGTATTTCTGAAAACACAAAATAAAACATACATGTACTGTACAAGCTGAATGTTAAACCTCTGGTGTGGAAAATATAAGCTCACAGAGAGGAGGTGGTGAATGTGGAGGGCGGCTTGGGAGGTTAAAAGTGCCTTACAAAATTAACTCTGAGGTCTCTGGAGAACACAAATCCTGTTGAAGAGAAACACATTCAGCTGCCAGCAGATGAGAGAAAGAGAAGTGAGATTATTCTTTTCTGAGAGGAGAAGAAGAGATAAAGACGCACCTCCTTCAACTTGAACTAGACCTCGCTCTAAAAGGATGCGCACTGACTGTTCAGACAGAGTGGGGTTTGCAGCCAACAACCTGAAAGAAATAAAACACTTTAGCAAACAGCAGCTGGCTTTAGAGACAAAGTACCCAGAAATGTGAAATAAATCTTTGTAAATGATACCTCTCAGCTGCCTTCTCGTAAGTGTAAACTCTTTCCTGTCCTGTCTTTTTTTCAAACTGCAATATCTCATCCATCCCCTGCCTCATCGCTTTGGAAAGTTCTTTCTGCAGGAAAAGAGAGAAACTACTGACAGAGGGGGAAAGTACAGATGTATTCTTCCAATATAATATCAGATACAGTATGTGAATAAAGTGCAATGAAAAAATACAGCAGGAATCATTTTCACCACCTGAATGAAGATTATTTCAAGTTATTAAAAAAACCCTGCTGATTCATTTTAATGAGGAAAGTCTAAATCTATAATAAACATTTACAATAAAAACATATATACACACTTTATACATATTATACACTGAGGACACGGATTTCTGGTCCTCTGTCATTGTCTAGTTTTACAACTGATGGGCATTAAATGCCCTGATTTGGGGATTTTTAGAGTCAAATTTCCATATCACTACTTACAGTCAAAAAAAGAAGAAGAAAGAAGTAAATAAAGGATTCATTATTTCCCCATCAGAATTTCATTTCTTGAACCAACATTCAGGAAAGAAATTGACTGGAAATCAAAAATTTGATATTTTAACACAGCTCCCATTGTTTCTTGATACGTGAAAAAAACCTTCTGTGATATTATATTTGACAATATGTGGAAAAATCGGGGACCAAACAGATCTGGGATTGCTCAATAATTCAGTGGTTCTGGAAGCAACCAACTAAAAACATGGGGTTTTATCCAGATGGGCGCAGTTTGCGGGATGTAGCAGAGCACGCTTCAGTGAGCTGCTGGAAAAAGTTTGCCAATAGGGCTTTCTTCCAGAAAAGTATTTCTTGGTTAAGGTTACGAAAAAAGTCAGGGTTGGAGTTAAAATGAATAGATTTCTGCCAGAAAGGACTTTCTTTCTTCCACACGGGCTACGTAACCATCTCAGCCCCGCTCAGCCCAAGTGAATGTTCATGAGTTTTCCACTATGTAGGATGATCTATGTTAGGTTTTTTTTTCCAAATAATAATCCTGTTTGTGTTGGGCATGATGCCAGATGCTACGCTGATATCAAAAGTGAGGTAAAAGTCTACAGGGAAGTTTAATATTAGTGGCAGTTGCAGCCATGCCAGCAGTACAAGGAACAAAAATCTAAGTGCATCTTCATAAATCAATGATCTCTAAAAACAAACAAACAAACAAACAAACAAAAACCTCAATTTGAAATCACAGCTAGACATAAGGTCTTCTGTAGGTTTAATGTTGGGGTTAAGGCATAGATAAGGTTAAAATGCTATTTTTACATTACAGTTTTGCTAGCTTGTACAAAAAGTGACAAGATGACCCAGCGTGAGCCGACAAGAACGCGCATCAGGCACATAACACTCACTGTGCGTTCCAATACCCATACTATCATACAGTTTAGTAAGCCAGAAAAAGAATACATAGTATGTCAAATGCAGAATGTCAAAAATACCAGGATGTCCTACAACATCCAGACATATTTTGCAGTACACAAGCCAGCATGCTTTTATGGCTATTTTGACCCACAATTGTCTGCTCAGTGGAAAATACGTCACATTGACTGAGCCGCAAATAGATGACAGCCTAACAGCTTGATGACAGCTGATTGAAGTCACAGTAACGGAAGACAGCGCATTCAAGTGACTAATGACCAGCTGAATAGTAGGCTAACAATAGGAATATTAACTGTTCAAAAGAACAGTATAATCATAACTTTAACTTACCAACAACAAAAGGACATAACTATAAAAATAACAATTACAGAGAAATGAAAATATAATTTCCCTCTCATGAACATAATATGTTAGAATCTGCAATGTATGCAGTTACAACTTAAAAGGTAAAACTACATACATTGCAAAGTAAGTCTCTGGTGAGCTCAGCTAATGGCGTTTTTGTTTTACTTTCAAAGTAACAGACATATGAGCAAAAGGGTCAAAGCTCTGGGTGCAGTATTATGTATTATAAAGAAACAGCATAACCTTCTTAAGGGCAGCTGCAGTGCCTACTAAAAGTAAAAAGAAAAAGTTTGTGATTCTGAATGTCTGAGTGATGCAGCACATCAGACACAGCCCGTGTTTTCTGGGAGTTCTGTTTCTAGAAAAGTGCTAAAAATGAAATTGAGAAAAATGCTAAAAGTGACTGTCCCTTTAAATCCATAAAATTTAAATGAAAATTTCATATAAAACATTTTTTTTTAGATTATTCTCTTGGTGTCTGTTCAGACTGTCCTAGCTGTGCATTTAACAACAGAGACCATTAAAGTTTCACAGTGAATGTAATCTGGGGAGAGAATATGATTTGTACCAAGTCTGTTGGAAAAAATCCGTAAGCGTCCAAAATCACCAGAGCATCCACCATCTCAGGATACAGTGCGCTGAACTGTGGAAGAAACAAAATGGACCATGTGATGACAGCATCTGTATATTGTGTGACAAAGAGGAGAGAGATAAGAAAATGACACTCACCATTCCAGCAATGTCACCACCTGTGAATAAAAGAAGCTCCATGTAATTTGCACGTTAAATGACTTTGTAACGCAGCCACACAGATGAAGATAAATTCTTCTCTAATGGTGGACTCACCCATACTGTGGCCTATGATGGAGAATTTCCGCAGCTGCAGAGCTGTGGGAGTTAATTTCACAGATCATCAACCAGGTTCAGTATCTCATCACAGAACATCGAGATACTTTTTAGTTGCTACAAGTCCGTCTGTGGTTTAATTATATGCATTAATAGGAACATGACGTCGAATCATTTTTTATTTTTAAAGATTTTTTTGGGGGGCATTTTCAGCCTTTAATGGACAGGACAGACAAGTGTGAAAGGGGGAGAGAAAGAGGGAGTGACATGCAGCAAAGGGCCACAGGCTGGAGTCGAACCCGGGCCTCTGCGGCAACAGCCTTGTACATGGGGCGCCTGCTCTACCACTAAGCCACCGACACCCCGATGTTGAATCTTTACAGGACTTCATGTTCTTCACTGATGTTTGGCTAAAAATGATTCTGCAACATAATAAGCTCACACACACACCATCAGCGACTCTGCGTACGTCCGCCACGTAGGTGGGAAGAGAGTAGAAATCTCCAAGAGGACGGTGTGATGAGCGACCATGACCTGCCAGGTCTATCGCCACATATCTGCACTCTGAGAGAAGAGATGTGTCAAATACTCACACAGCAAACTGAGCGGGAAGTCACACCAAACACGTACATCACAAGTCTGGGTAATAATTTATTTTACGGGTCCATATTTTCTTAAATATTTCCAAGGAAGTTTCCTATAGAGGAGAGAATTTGGTGCTGATTATAAGTAAAAATAAAGACAATGGTTTTAGATACTTACAGTAGCGATAATTGAAGCTGATCAGGGCCGCATAATGATTATTTTTGTTACTGCTTAATCTGTTGAATATTTTTAAAATTAAATGATCAATTGTTTAGTCAATACAATGTCAGAAAATACCGAAAAGTGCAAATGTAAAAACCAAAAGATGTCAGTTTTTCTAATTTTTTTTATTACCATTCAATATCACATGCAACGTTACTTATTTTATCGTTTCATAACTATGCAAATATTACTTTTCTTTTCTGTTTTAGTTTAGTTATTTTGCATTAACATGTATGTAGCATTTTAATGTTAGCTGGTCAAGTTGGAGCTGATTTAAATTATTTAATATTAGGCTAGTTTTATTCTTTTTTAACTTGTTTCCAACAGAAAGAAACTCATTTAAAAACTTGGGAGATTGTGAAAATCTTAAAAGAAGACAGAATAAAGGATCACTGCTTTTAAAATAAAAAGAAACCAAAAGAAGTCACCTTATTCTAGAAAATTCACAACACCAGCTGGCTTCTATTGAAGCAATGTGAAATGATCTCATTGCACCAAAGGAGTTTGCACTGCATGTACAGAGTAGTGACAGCAATCGGTGCAGTGAAGTAAAAAGCACGTTATTACCAAATAAATTAGTGCACTGCAAAGTAACATAAAATGTAAATACATAGGTACAGCACTTGAGTGTGTGTAACTTTTCCATCACAGTTGATTAGTCATAACAAAACATATACTAATTATGTATTGTTGCAGCCCTAAAATTAATTTAACAAAGTATATCAATTGAACAATTTTACCTATAGCATACCTTTCTTTTACAAAGCTATGTCCAGGAAACCTTATAGAAAGTGACATAAAATAAAGAATTACCCAGTTTTGTTTACAGAAAGTCTCCAGTACTGTATTACCTTTAGGTAGCAGGGGAATGAGGGTGCTGAATGCACCACAGTTGTCAGCCCAGCCATGCAGGCACAGCACAGGACGGCCGTGATCAGGACCCCAGACCCTTCCTCTGATCTCTCCCCAGGGCACCGGTACAAACAGCTCTGAAACTGACACATGACACAGTAGAGCCTTCAGTCTGCAGCTCAAACACAACAACTGGCTCTTAACAAACTGTTGTTATTATTATTGTGTATTAAACAACTGTCGGACACAAATCATCTCACAGAACTGAACTAACTTAAACCCATGTAACTAAAGTCTATTGGACAAAGATTTGACAGATAAGAAAAAACTGAAATGAGCAACAGCTCAAATAATAAATTAGTTTAAAAAATGCTGTTTGGATGTTAAAATCCACAAGACACCACATAAGTTATATATATGACTAGTAAACAAGTGCTGTAGGTGTCTGACTGTAGACAACTTATCAAAGTCTCCACATGACGTTACTCTGACTTTGTTACCTTGTATATCCATTGCAGTTGATGTAACAAAGTTTCTAACGCTTCGTAAAGTTTGCAGTAGTGTTCGCATCACTACATAAACACTACAAACAAGCCGTGAACATGTCTCCGGTCAATGACACTTGGTACTGTTTACTAACTTCCGTGTTGCTGCAGCAGAGACATCTCATTGGATGAAGCAGGACAGGCTCTTAAAGGGACAGGCATCCCTTTTTACAGAGTCGTCTCCTATCAGGTCTCTCACCTATGGCTGTTTAACTCATGAGTTTTTTCTTTTACTCAAACTGCTGATAGACTTTTAGAAACAGTGTCTCTGTCTGTATTTACCCAGTCTTTTGAATCTGGAGCTTTAGTTGCTATGCAGTGCATTACAATCATTCATATACATCACACTAGGCTGCATGAAGATACATATTTCTATATGTTTGGTCTCTGGCATCTGTCCTCTAGAAGGTTAAACATTAATCAGGAGTCAAAGAATTGCTATGGCCTTAACCCAAGGTAAAAAAAATACCTGTGGCCACAAAACATATTTTAGCCTCATAATGAAGGTAACACAGCCTATCAGGTCTAAAATAGCCTATCAACATTAATAATAGGTCTAAATGAGCATCTATTAATATATTTTACTACAAGCTGACTACTCTGCAGTGGGCTGTTTATGATTATTTGGTACATTAACTTTACAGCATTGGCAGTGAAAGCAAACAAATATGTCCACACATTATTATATAAAATACTCTAAGACGTTTCTTTTTTTTTTGGATTTGGAATCCAAAACTAGCCTAGCTAGCCTATTCAAGACTTACCATCACTACTGAGGTCTGGCCTCAGATTTGGTGGTGCTGACTCTCATCCCCACCGCTTCACAGTTGTCTGCACACCACCTCCAGTGCATGTTGGGGGTCACAGTGTGATGAAGCCAACATAACCACATCATCTGCGAAAAGCAGAGATAAAATTCTGAGGTCCCCAAACTGGACCCCTTTCTCCCCTCGGCTGTGCCACGAGATCCTGTCAGTGAAAATCACAAACAGGATCGATGACAAGGGACAAACCTGCTGGAGGCCAACACCCACCCAGAAAGTGTTTGACTTTACACAGAGTATGCAGACAGAGCTCTCACTTTGGTCATACAGGAACCAGATGGCTTGTAGCAGCGAACTTGGTGCCCCGTACTCCTGCAGTACCCCCACAAGACCCCCCTGAAAGACGTGGTCGTAAGCCAAGTCCACAAAGCACATGGACTGGATGGGCAAATTTCCACGACCCCTCCAGCAGCCTCGCAAGGGTAAAGGACAGAATCCGCAAGATTAGTGTATTACTTTTGTTTTGTACAATCTTCGAGTGAAATAAAGTAAAGGAGCACCATTCAAAAGTTTTGGCACCCCAAGACATTTGAGCTCTCAGACAACTTTTAACAGAGTTTCAGACCATAATTACCTTGTTAGGGTTATAGCTTGTTCACAATCATCATTATGAAAGAAGAGGTGATGCAAATTTCAAAGCTTTATAAATACTCTGCCTCCTGAAACCTTGTCCCAACAATCAGCAGCCATGGGCTCCTCTAAACATCTGCCCAGCACTCTGAAAACTAAAATAACTGATGACCATAAAGCAGCAGAAAGCTATATGAAGATAGCAAAGTGTTTTCAGGTAGCTGTTTCCTCAGTTTGTAATGTAATTAAGAAATAGCAGCTAACAGGAACTGTGGAGGTCAAGTTGAGGTCTGAAAGACCAAGAAAACTTTCTGAGAGAGCTGCTTTCCTGCGCCCTCACCACAAAAAGGAAGATTTGAACAAGCCTGATGTTTTTTGGAAATAAGTTGTGTGGACTGATGAAGTTAAAAAAATAACTTAATGAATGCAGTGAGCAAAGGTATGTTTGGAGAAAAAAGGGTGCAGAATTTCATGAAAGAACACCTGTCCAGCTGTTAAGCATGGGGGTGGTTCCAACATGCTTTGGGCTTGTGTTGCAGCCAGTGGCAAATTCTGGAAGCAAACATCACACCATCTGTAAAAAAGCTGAAGATGAAGAGAGGATGGCTTCTACAACAGGACAATGATCCTAAACACACCTTAAAATCCACAATGAGCTACCTCAAGAGGCACAAGCTGAAGGTTTTGCCATGGCCCTCACAGTTCCCCGACCCAAACATCATTAAAAATCTGTGGTTAGACCATAATGAAGAATGGGTGAAAATCTCCCAAACAAGAACTGAATGACATTTACAAAAAGCATTAAGAAGCTGTGATACTTGCCAAAGGGGGCGCTACTAATTAGTGACAATGCAGGATGACTAAACCTTTGCTTTGGGCCCTTTTCCTTTTTTGTTATTTTGAAACTGTAAAAGATTAAAATAAAAAAGCTTAAAATAGAGAAATGTGTCATCATTAACATTTTGCTTTTTGGAATTCAGCTCATCTTTTACTTGCTTAGCTTTTCATAATAAATGAAATTTTGACCAGGGGTGCACAAATTTTTCCAGGCCACTGTAGCTGTATTTTACACATCTGTAACAATTACCCAGGATAACTACATTGTTTTTCCTCTCCTAAAAGTTCTTCTGTGGTCCAAGATTTTGTTTAAAATACATATAACTGTCCACATCCCTTAAACAGCTGTCAAACCACTGCATGTTTCTTTAAAGATTTATTGGATGGATATCACAAAACACAAAGTTTGCACAAATGCAAAATGTGCAATTTGTCTGCATTTTGACATTTTAGAGAAAAGGAAATTTTATGCAAATGTCATGAATTATTTTCATGGGTAAATATTTACACCAGACAGCCTGTAAAACACATTATAAATATGAATACTTTTAATATTTAAAATTAGATCACAGAAAAACAAATGATGACAACAGACGATGACAGTAGTAAAAGGTTAAATAATCAAAGATTAAATTATTGCTTAAGATTTAAGGAAGTGTAGTTTTGTAGATTTACAACATAATCCTCCAAAATTAAGTCATTCTTAACATAGTTTAACTGCTTTATTACCGAAAACAAGCAGTTAAAAAGATACTGTGAAACTATTGTGCACTTGTTGAGATTCATCCTCTGCTCTCTGTGGCACTCAGGCACACACTCTTTCTCCCACAGCTCACTAACTTTGAGATTAAACATGAGGACACACACACACACACTTCAGAGAAATTGTGTAACTGCTAAAATATTTACAACAGGCAGTAGACTTCTAAGACACCTGAGCTGCCACAGTGCATTTCAAACAATCCTCAAAGATAGCAGCTACAAGGTGATAAAACTACTGCCTGCAAATATACAGCAGTCTGTACTACAGGACGGCAGGAGGACACCAAACAGAGTTCAGCAGCCTCAAACACTAACAAGAACTTTATTAGGCACATCTGTACGATCGAATGCAGTCCAACACAGCAGCTCAGCCACAGCATCTAAAGCTAAACATTTGTGTTGGCACTGTCAGAAAAGTGTAAATCCAATTCATTATTGAGGTTATTGTTACAGGTGAGGTTGTGCTGGACTAGATTGTATTGAGAGGTGTTACTTTTTTTGTTCTAAATGAGAGAGGCAAGATGTCTCATTGTTCTCACACTGTCATTAAAAAAAATATTATATACTTTCACACCATTTTATTTAGAGGTAACATAAAGGAATACTTCACTCCCCATATGACCATCTGTGTTTTAATTACTCACCCCATGTCATGTTAACTTGTGAAGAAAACTTTGTTTTTCTCAGCAGCAATATTATATTGAATGATCTTTTTACAAACTCTCACACAACTCATGCAGTATAATCCAAGTCTTGTTTATTCAGATGTATGCTCAGTACTTCCCAAACAGATGGCCCTATCTGATAGGTTACTGAACTAAAAGTAAAATTTATCTACGCTCTCTTCAAAGCCAGACTCCACTGACAAAAACAGTACGTTTACTTTGCTGCCTCAATCGGGAGCTTGTGTTATTGTGTAAATTCCAACTGATCCTTTAAAACATCAAAGTTACACGGTAACACAAACTAAGTGATCGAGGCAGCAGTAGACAAGCACCTCCCTTGTTCAACGAGGTAACTTTACTGTTTTTGTCAATGGAGTCTGGCTTTGACGAGAGCATAGATAAGTTTTACTTGTCAGAACAGGCTGTTTGTTTGGTAAGTACTGAGCATACATCTGGATAAATGAGACGTGGATTACACTGCACGAGTTGTGTGACAGTTTGTAAACAGATGTTTGGTTACAGTTTGCTGCTGTGAAACACAGTCCCCTATGATTCAATTTATCAATAATATTCTCTGTTTTTAGATTCTTTGTTCCCATTGGAAACATGCAAGAATAACTAAGTTTTCATCAATTCAAGGTAACACAGGGGAAATAACCGATACACAAATCTGATCATGTGGGGGGTGCAGTAATCCTTTAACACCCCCTGAAAATCTTGTCTTTGCTGACCTTCATTGTTTTAGCTTATCACCTTGCTGCAGTGATGTACAGGTGTCCCTCAGGACCCAGTGCTGTCATGGTTGTGTGTATATTCAGGTGCAACAAAACACACTTCTGACCACACTTGTCAGAGGTGAAAAAGATATGAGTCTTTCAACCTTAGAGGACAGAGAAAGACATTACTTTTCTGAAACTGTCCATTTAAGTTAAATTGTGCGTATACAACTCTGAAACTTGTCTTGCCTTACATTCCTAGTCATTTGGATCTGAGAGGCTTAAATAACCCTGTGACATTTAATCTAACACCACGTTAACTTGTACCTGCAGTTTACATTGAGCATTATTGACCAAAGTCCCTCCATTGTCAGCTTTTCTATTTGTTCTTCTGTTCCACTGGTTAAGTTAACATTCAACTAAAGGCAGTGTCTGTGAGTTGCATTGTGGGTAATATAGGCACCAGGTTTTGACAACTTGTGAGTTCAACAAGGTTACAGGAGTGTAATGCCAAAAAGTTGGAGTACTCCTTTAGGCTAATGTCTCTTAATGTATCATGCCATCCTCATCACACACAAAACACCACATGAAAGCCAGTTGTTGACTCTTGTCAGCACAAAGGATAACATCTGTCCAACACAGACTTCATATGAATCCACTGAACCGAGTGATATCTATTCACTGGATCAAAAAGCAAAAGACACAAACTGTGCCAGAACACTAATTTGGCTGTTTTTGTTTTTTGGCTGATCTGTCTCTCTCATCTTACTCAACATCTTACCGACCATCTGGAGTTAAAGAGAAGCAGCTTGGTGTAAAACATGGCTCATTTTACCCACAATGGCACTGACACTCAACAACAATACACATCAATATCTATTAACAAACATTAAAGCAGCTGTGCGGAACTTTTTACCATTTATAAAACTGTCCCTAGTTCGTATCACCCCCCCTTGAAGATCCGCATATTTATTTGAACCCAACAGCGACAAAAAAGCCTTTCTCTATATGGCTATTTAGCGTAGCCTCGCTCGGGTCGGACACACAGTGGAAGTCAGCAAACCAGAATACAGCACCCGAGGCGGAAGTGATTCTGCTCGCCCGCAGCGGCCCGCAGCGATTAAACCACAGAAGAAGAAGGAGCCGTGTTTACAGTGTTCTTCGAGTAAGCAGTACGCAACGGGCATTGCCGAACACATAACACCTAACAGTTTTACCAGAGATGTATCTATGAGGACTTGGTTGTACTTTTGATGTCATGTCAGCAAACCAGAATACGGCACCCGGAGGCAGAAGTAATTCTGCACACCCACAGCGTCCATTAAACCACAGAAGAAGAAGGAGCCGTGTTTACAGAGAGTGTTCTTCAAGTAAGCGGTACACAACAGGCATTGCTGAACACGTAACAGTTTTACCAGAGATGCATCTATAAGGACTTGGTTGTACTTTTGATGTCATGGCGGATAACGAAGGAGCATCATCTAAAAGAAAAAGAAAAAGAACAGAAGAACAGAAGAAGGCTAAACGGGACAGTGATAGGACTCGAGCCCAAACGCGTGTAAACCTCGGTCGGGCATTCACCAAGTGGAGAGAGCTGAGAGAATTGAAAGGTTCTAAAACTGATCCAGAGTTGGCCCTTTTCCTAATCGACAGGTATGTCATTTTTGTTTTTATTTAGAGAATATACCGCAACTTGTTAGACGTTGCTTCACTTCAATATATGACGACATGGAAGTTATAAGCAAGCTAAATGTAATGTTAGCTGGTGTGAACCGCTTTTGCCTAGTAACGTTACAACAAACGCAACAAAATTATCTGTGACTGTGACCATGAACACAAATATACAGCAGGCAGTTGTCCTCAGTTTATAAGAACGTTAGTAACGTTGATCCTCTCACTCTCCAAAACAAATGCATGCGGTAACTGCCGGTTGCAGTCGAGATTTTATGAATGAAGCCGAATGCCGGCTGCAGTCAGAATTTTACGACACCAGGGTGTGGGTGTGATACTGCTTTGACCAAAGGGGCGCTATAATCAACGAAAACATAAAGTTACGCACAGCTGCTTTAAATAATTTAGGAGTCCACCAAAACTAAAATGAACCTAAATGATTTGATGCTACAATAGCTGTTTGACAGATTTAAGCTCCCAAGTTGAGTGTAAACTGTTAAGTATAAATACACATGTTAAATAATTGTTTTCACCAGAAGTGAAGTATGACTTAAGGCAAAACTGATGTGTGTACGTGTTTGTGTGTGTGTATGTGTGTTTGCTATGACACTGAGGCCTGTTTTTCTGTTTGTTTAGCTGTCCGTTTCAACAGTTTTGTCAGCAGAAAGTCAGACACAAGTGGAGCAACGACTTCAGGGTTATTCAGATGGATGTGATGATCGCCTGGTACCGTCACCACCACAGAGTGCTGAAAGAAAGAAACAAAAAGACGAGTGTGAGAGATATTAGTGTAGGCAATGATTGTAAATCTAGATGAAATGCCTCCCACTGTACAAAAATGAAGCCAAAATATCACAGGTACAGCCGCTGCCATCTTGAGCTGATAACATCATTTGGAGCCAGAGTCTGTGCAGAAGTGATCTCTGTGGTGAGTGTGCTAAGGGTGCAGGAGAAAGTCTGCGCCTGTCACAAGTGGAATCAACATCTGAGAACATTTTAGAGTTTGACTTTTGAGAAATGAAGGCAATGCACCTTATATTGAAAGAGGCTATACCGGGCACATATTGAGGCTGTGTGGGCCTCCTCGAGACATTTGTTTTGTCCAAAAAAAAAAAAAAAAGCATGGACCAGCTATTTATGATAAGAAGTTGAAGAAGACTATTACATGCAAGACTTCATCCTCTTCACAACCTGTAGAATATGACACACCCACTGATGTCGTCATTGTTCACACTTCAAGCCCAGAAAAAAACAACAGCTACCTGGGCTCTGAACAAATGCTCCAATCGAGGTAAAATTCAGTGTGCTACCCGCAACTGAACCCTTTGCATGACAGCTAAACAATGAGCTGGCACTTTCTATAAAGCTCAGTAAAGCAGAGAGGAGCTTCACATTCAGGTGATAATTCTATCTCGGTCCATCACTACGAGGGACCCTTTTCATTTCATTTCATTGATATTATTATAGAAATACTGATTATAGCCGCTCTAAAATCATTAGTATTCTGACATCCCAAACTCTCCTCTGTTGTACAGTAGCTGATTTTTATTGTTATTATCACCAGCTAACTTGGAAAGAGACAATCACTGGAGATGCTAAGTTGACGTGCGTCTTTTGTTTTCTCTCTCATCAGCAGCACTTGACCGAGCTCCAGTATGTAGGTCAGTGTTTGAGGTTCACAGCTATAAAGATTTCTGCTGCCTCTGAGACACTGGGCTCACACTACGCAGCTACTTTTGCATCTGTGCAGCCCTCTGTCTGTCTGTCTGCCTGCCTGTCTGTCTACTAGGCACAATTACACACACACAGGCTTAACGGCTAAAAATAAACACCAAGATGCAAGCGTACGTACTTTACACAAACGCTGTAAAAACACACTCACATTTCTGTCCCTATAGGCCTGGAGAATTGCTGATGTAAATGGTCTGTGCTCTGGTTTCACAAATAGTTTCTCAAAGCCGTCCTCTGCTCTGGAAAGACAAAGAAGAAAGACAAGAAAAAGATTGTATGTATATTGGTGAGGTATATTTTTCATTGCACTGAGATTGGTACATGTAATAGGGAAATGTGAAGTGGAAGACAAACTTACATAACAACTAAAACGGGGGCTTGTATCCCCGACTGCAGTTCCAGAGCCTGCTCAAAACTGATGCGCGATGTATTTTTCTGAAAACAACAGTCAAACAATACATATACAGTACTGTACACACATTTTATGGGCTGCATACGACACTCAGTTGGCGTAGTTCAACAAAAACCTACCAGATTAATCCGAAAGTCTCTGGTAAAGGCCACACCTGAAACAGAAAAATACATTCAGAATTTATCCAGAGAGTTAACTCATTCTGCTCTAACAGGAGAGCCCAGGATCAACATAAAAGCAGAGGGGAAGGGGAAGATAAAGACGTACCTCCTTCAACTTCAACTATACCTCGCTCTAAAAGGATGCGCACAGAGTGTTCAGACAGAGTTGGGTTTGCAGCCAACAGCCTGAAAGAAATAAAAGGCTTCATAAGAAAACACTCACATCACTGGATAAGTGGATATGCAGTAGTATTTTAAAAGCAACATGATTAGGAAGGTGTAACACCTCTCTACTGCATTTTCATAAGTGTAGACTCTCCTCGTCTTCTCTCTCGTCATTTTTTCATACTCAATCATCTGATCTGTCCCCTGCCTCATTACTTCAAGCATTTCTTTCTGCAAGAAAACAGACATAAATGATCAATGAAGCAATTCAAAACTACTGACAAGAGTGGATAGTACAGCACAGCTCTGGAATATTATGGAGTCAGGCAATAACATTAAATGAACGCTTTGCAGTTCACACTGACCCAAAGGACAAAACTGTGTCAGATTTAATTACACTGGTGACAAAAGCATTTATTAAATGTGATGCCTTTCAAAATGTCAAGCGACCTACACATTTTTTCCATTTACTCACAATCCAGAATTCATTAGAAATTGTTATGAAGTCGTACAGTCTTGTAGAGAGTTCGGGGGTCTTGTACTCAGATTATCTGGGGGCACTACAGACAGACGTTGCTCTCTCCAGACAGGAGCTCCTGCGACACTGTTTTTTTTCCAACAGTAAATTTGAACTCCATAGATGAGCAACTCGTCTTTCCTTCTCCTTTGTACATACTGCTCTGCATGTTTGGTGGAGCGATGGGTTTCTGTAGGCTTCATCCACTTAAATGTAAGACTTTTAAAGACCTTTTAACCCTTTGAAACTTGCAGCAACATCACTTTTCTTGTGCTGCCAGCAGGTGCCTTTCGCAAGTATTTAAACCTTTGAACCCTGACCATATCGGTGCGATTTCTTTCAAAAACATGGGAAAAAAGGCAATAAGCAACTTGTAAGAAATGTCCCACATATTGCCAAAAATGTGCAGATTTAGAAAATTTTTTTTTTTAAAAGGGAAAAAAGAAAAAACGTAAGGAAAAACTGTATTTCTAATGATGTTACAGAATTCTTATAATTTTTAAGCACTTTTTCCAGGTCATGTCCTTGTGTGTTTGTTTTTAACTTTCTTTCCTTTCTTTTAGTTTTACTAATTTTCATGCTTTGAATTTTTTTTTCTTTTCTCTTTTGTTTTAAACTAATTTTCATATTTCGAATTTTCCCTTTTTACTAATTTCTTGCAAATTTTTGGGGTCATGTCTTCTTTTGTTCCTCATTTGCCTTCTCAGGTTTTTGAAAAAAATCAAGCCAATTCGCTCAGGTTTCAAAGGGTTAAACACCACATGTTCATGATCATACAAAGGAAAGTATTAAAGCATGATGGAAAGCCAGTATGGACGATAAAACCTAGAATTGTTTATTATTATAAAGGTCTGCACATATATCTCTTTTTGTTATTGTTTTTTTTTCTTAAAACCGCCTAATGCAACAATAAATTCTTAACATGTGGGAGGACTTATGAAATTGTTGTGAAGCCTGGCGTAAAAAGATTTTGAAACACAAATTCAAAGTAGATTATGTTTCTCTTCACCCTTAACTAAACAAATTACAGCTCTGTAGTAACTGCAAAAAAAAAACCCTGTAATTACCGGATCTGTGGGTAAGAATCCATATGAGTCCAGCAAAACAAGAGCATCCACCATCTCAGGATACAGTGAACTGAACTGTGGAAAACACAATATAGTTACTGAATAACACACTGTACAGCAAAATACTCTCTACAGAGACAGCATGTGTATCTTGTGAAACCAGTGGCCTGTCATGACACTGTCACTTACCATTCCAGCAATGTTACCACCTGAAATTCAAAAAAAAAAAAAAAAAAGAAAAAAAAGAAATGTACATATAAATATACCACAACCATTGTAATTGCTCTAATTCTGCTGTAAAGCTGCACTCACCCATGCTGTGGCCTATGATGGAGAATTTACTCCACTGAAGAGCTGTAGGAGTAATTTCACAGATCATCAACCTGGTTCAGTATCTCATCACAGAGACTGTTTTTACTTGAAAGACATTGTTGCTAATGTGGTTTAACTGCAACACAGATGCACTGGAGCTGGGTGATTAAAATATATCACTATAGCAATCATAGTTTTGATTTTAAGAATTAATAAACTATAATGGCACATGTATGCAACATAAATCTTTGATTTGACAAAAATAAATGTTAAAGGGTTACTTTGGTATTTTTCAACCTCGACCCTATTTTCCTATGTTTTTGCATCAAAGTGACTAATCAGACTGACCTTTTTTTCTAGTGTTCTAGTTTTGAGTGAGATCACTGCAACCAGCGGCTGTGAAACATGTCAATTTATGTCCACTGAAAGTGCTTGTTTTTGCCACTGAGGCTCAGATTCTTACTGTAAGTGTCTGACAACATTATGGAAAGGATTCCCTGCAGTGATAGATGTTTTTGTTGCAGAGAAAGATCCTTTCTATTTTATCTGGAACAGCCCAGAAATCGCTATCATCAAACCCACCGGACGCCATTTAAATAAACAGTAATTTTAACATAAAATACACTTAGAGAGAGTGGGGACTGACATGCAGCAGGGGGCCGCTAGCTGAATTCGAGCCCTGTGCATGGGACGCTGACACTATCCACTATGCTACCAATGCCCCTGCAATTTTACTATTTACTGTTGAAGGCAATAAACTGAGTTCAACTGTAACACATTTGTCAGGATAACTCTTAATATAGGAAAAAGAAACCCCTTCAATATCTAAATAACTCTCAGTTTATAATTACATCTGCTCAGAATCATTTATTTTGGTTCATATAATCAAGACGTGTTTCCACTGGAAGGCGATAACCAATAATAACAAATTATCACCAAGCTCCAGGACACACTGCATCCCCACAGAGATGTAGCTTGTTGCCTGAACTATCATCGATGTGTCATTTGAATTCGTGCCTAAATATGTCGTGCAACTTCTTGAACTCACACACCGTCAATGACCCTGCGTACATCCAGCAGATACCCAGGAAAATTGTAGAAAACTCCAGGAGGACGATGCGACGACCAACCGTGACCTGACAGGTCCACTGCCACGTATCTGCACTCTGACAGGAAGGACAGAGAGAAGGACTGAGTCTCACCAAGTGATTGTCACATTATCTCTTCAAGGACACAAAAACAACAACAAAAAACAAAAAAATTTCTGAAGAAAATTTGAATGTGTTCACTTTAGCTGAAAGACAGCACGTCAGCACAAAAACAATCCCTAATGTCTTGCTGAAGGGAAGTGGTAGTAATATCATTATCCAGCATCATGAATATAGGCCAGAAAAGAGTGCAAACCCCTGTTATTTTAGATGGGAGGCAGCTGTTGTAACAGCTGAGTGGCAGCACCAGCAGGGAAAAGATGCACTGCACAGATGCACACTGTCCTCAGGTAAAGTCTAAATAGTCAAACACTATACACCTGCATGTGCTGGGTAGTCTTCTGAGAGTAGTATCGAATTAGACAAACTCAATTATCCAGACAGTGTATGATGTCAGGAGGAAAGTTGGCCATACTCAGGGACAAACCAGGGGGCTTCTTGTCTGTGTTTGCCTTTAATTGTCGTTATTGTTGAGTATATAGCTGGGAGGCAGGTCCGTTTAAATAGTAAATACAAGTCTTAGTCCAGAGGCCACTGTCCCTGTAGTACCAGGGAGCTTCTTATTGTCAGGAAACTGCCCAACAAGATCAGCAAAAGTACACATTTGCATGTAACAAGCACCATAAACCTGTGTGAAGCAGAAAGTTCTGAGGAAAACACGGAAAATGTCCGCCTTCGTTCAGAGTATAATTTCCCAAAAAGGTTGACTTGTAGCTTAAGTTCTTCACTGTGAGTGGCAGCAGGAATTGGCTGACACGTGTTGATATATATGGCATATACTATGTGTATAAATAAAGTAATTTAGAGAACATGAAGAAATGTTCAGCAGTCAGTTTCAATGGCAGTGAATGGGGGGTTATATTTTACTTTTTGAAATAAATGAGGCACGTGGAAAAACTTATGCACAATAATATAAGTGAGAAGAGTTGAAATTGGGATGTTTAAAGCACCGTTAAGATTCACATGAACAACATTTACCTTTGGGTAGCAGGGGAATGAGGGTGTTGAATGTGCCACAGTTGTCAGCCCATCCGTGCAGGCACAGCACAGGCCGACCGTGATCAGGACCCCAGACTTTCCCTTTGATTTCTCCCCATGGCACCGGGAAGGAGAGCTCTGAAACTGGACACAATGACACTGTGGTTTAGTGATACGCATGAAAGGCTGTATCCTTTTCTGTGATCTATCGTCTCTAGATCCAGTCTGGTGGCAATGTTAGTTTTTGTCTCACCAGTGATATTCACTGAAAGATATACTCACTCTTTCAAAAAGAAGATGTAACTTGTCACTGGAATAGCTTTGTGACCATGTCTTTAAGGAGTTTCTTTTGTTTACTGCTGAAACAATTGCTTTTCTCTGTATAACACAAGCTCTGGGAGCAGAGGATGATGTCCTCAAATTGCTTGTTTTGTTCGACTAACAGTCCAAAACCCAAAGATATTTAATTTACAATGATAGAGGACAGGGAAATGGGGCAGATTCTCCCCATTCGGAAAGTATAACCAAGAAATGTTTGGCATTTTTGCTTCAGAGACGACTTAATTAACAATCATACATTGAATTACAGAACAACACAGCACAAATAACACAAATGAAGATTCTTGATTTTTAAGCAATCTGGCTATAATACCTACATTAATGTCAAACCCAGTGTACCTGCCTTTTTAAGTTAGATATATAAATACACTGATGCTATTTCTCATCCTCATAATAAGAAATCCATGACAACATAAAGTCTCTGTCACATCAATGTCTTCCCATTGCCTGTGTTCACCACGTGGCCTGTATTACTACTGTGTTCAACAAAAGGCATTAATAAAAGGTACTTGACCACAGTGAAGTTATTTTTAAATTGCCTCAGTCTAACAGACACGTTAGACAGATGTATGAGTTACCTGCTTGTTTTATAGCACTGGACTGAAGATGTCTGACGCCTTTCAAAGCCTGCATCATGTTGGAGGACACCTCTGCTGAACAAAAGATGGTTTAAAAACGTAAAACAGTGAGAAAATAGCTTAAAACTTCTGACCTGAGTGACTTTCCAGGCCGGTCTTCCGGGTGTTTAAAACCACGTGACGCGAGCTGAAGCTGCTACTGGATGAACGGATACGTGAACTGCGGCATGGACCAATCCCCGCTCAGGGGAGGAGGGGCTTACCTTTCACCGGTTTAACCAGCAGAGGGCCTCATTGTCTTTACCACAGCGGTCAGTTATATACAAGAACGAGGAGAGAGGACGCAGTGTGAGGACACGACATGATAAGATATGTTATATAGATACACAGAAAATAGAATGAGTGCAGGAAATTGTTATCATCAAGTAAACATAGCTACAACAATAAACAGGAAATATGCTGTACACAAAACTTGAAAAAGGTCAAAGTATAAGAGAAAAGAAATTTAATTTAATATACTTTATTAATCCCCGAGGGGAAATTCAATTTTTCACTCTGTTGTCAATTACACACAGGTCCAAACAAACACATGCACAAACAGGACCTATACATGCACTAAGTGGAGAGATGTCAAAGTGGGCTGCCCATGACAGGCGCTCTGAGCAGATGGGGGGTTCGGTGCCTTGCTCAGGGGCACCTCGGCAGTGCCCAGGAGGTGAACTGGCACCTCTCCAGCTACCAGTCCACGCTCCATATTTTTGGTCCGGACGGGGACTTGAACAGGCGTCCCTCCGGTTCCCAACCCAAGTCCCTATGGATTGAGCTACTGCCGCCCCAATATAGTAGGATTAAGCAAAATGAAATAGAGGATAAAACCAAGCTAAAAAATACAATCACTAAAAAACTGCCCAGTCATGGCAGTGCCGGCAGCCAGAATCGGGCCAGCTGATTTGGCCTGATTGTGGGGCGCCAGTCATGCCGAGTCTCAACCAAGTCGGGCAACTGGAGAGCCCGGCTAATTTCAGCTGGCATGCCAAGTTCAGGCCAATTCTGGGTGAGGTCACCTGAGTGTAAATTATGATATCATGAAGGACCTGCTGCAGGACTGATGTATTTGACTGCATATGTTTTACACAGTCCAGTCAGTGCAGCTTATGCAGGATCTAATGGCACCTATTAGCTGCTGTAAAATCACTGTGAATGTAACATGGCAGACAGCACATCCTTTAGAAAAACTGTTGATTGCACAGTTAAATGATCCAATCATACTTGGCTTCTTGCACTAAGCACTTTGTTTATTCTCCAGAATACTTTGCTTCTTCCCCAGACAGTATCTCTGTTCGTGTTGTCACGTCTTACACGTTCGCATGTTTTGTGTTTGCTCCTGCAACCCCCATCCATAGAGCCTGGTTCTGTTTGAAGTTTCCACCTCTTGAGAAGATATTTTTCCTCACCACCACTGTCAATTGCTTGCATATTGGGGAATTGTTGGGTCTCTGTAAATTTAATTTAAGGGCATTTAAGGGTACTAGACTTGCTAAATACTAACAGTGTCCTGAGATAACTTTTGTTGGACAAAGGACGTGCGTCAACCATGGCGCAACCAAAACAGGAAGTGGATAGTGCTATCAGTGAAGGGAGTGGTGGATGAGATTCGTATCTTTGGAAACTGCGGCACTTACTCAGCTCTGAGGAAAACAGAAGGCAATCTGGTTGTCTTTGCCTCCTTGATTGACACCCCCCCCCCCCCCCCCACACACACACACACACACACACACACACACACAAAAACAACCCTGCACTTCTATACTTGTGAGGACCCTCATTGACATTATGCAAATCCCATTACAATTACATGCCTAACCCAAACTGTTACCTTAACCAAACCCTTGTTTTAACCAAGTCTGAACCCGCAAGTGAGGACCAATGGGGATCTTACAAAGGTGGATGTACAAGTAAACACACACACACACACACACACACACACACACACACAGTCAGCATACTTTTCAATCTATGATCTACTTTATTCAGATGAGATAACTGGCATATAAAGGCTCAGTGAGATGAAACATAAAGTAAATCTTCACATATATTATTATGATACATAATATATGTATAATATTCATAGAGCGACATGTAATCCTATCAGAGATGATACTCACATGGAATCAAAAATTTCTAGGTTAAGATTAGAGGCGCTGTGGACATTTGAAGTGACGTGCAGAGAGACAGACGGATGGGAGGACTGGAAAAATTGTGTGACAGGACAGAGGGAGGGAGGGAGTATAAGAGGTGAGGGGAGTAAGTCAGGTCAACAAGAATTTGGCATAATCACAAAGGATATTATACTATTCTGCAGGTAGGTACTGCTTTTGGTAACAGTCTTATAATGGATTCTTAGAATAATTTATATTTATTGGTAAAATGTATTGAATTTAGGGTTTACTGACTAAATATAACTAGAAAAAAAAACAGAATTGTGGATTCATTAGAGCAGTATTTGGTTATAATTTGGCAGAGACATGGTTTTTATTTGTTGGATGCAGAGAAATGTCCCAGTGAAGATTGTTTTTGTTCATTAAAGGTAAAGAAATAAAGCACTTTTTAATTGCCAAGGTCATCAAATTAGAACTATTATAAACATGAAAAATACTGTGGAGAGAAATTAAAATCCAGATAACTGTCCTTGAGGAGATACTGAGGAGAAATACTTTTCTGTGCATCTTCACAGTGAATCCAGTTTCACTTCACATGATTCATTCTACATGAGAGCAACTGGATTTATGTATCCACCTATTTCTGGTTATGACTTGCCCTTTCATTCAGCAGTTTATAGCTGCTGGCCATCAAATAAGAAAAACTCCAAAACAAATAATGTGTGAAAAAGAAGTGTGAACTTGTTGTGAGCTAGGAACTTTGGTATGTTATTGTTATTATTAGCATTAATTATTTATTTTATTTTAGATCAATCATGGCTGATTATGACGCTGTGCTCAAGTGCTGGTCTGCAATGGAGGCGGACTACAGTGGCATTGGGAACCTGGTTATGAGGCGGTGAGAGGCTCAGACGAGTTAAAATTATTCTTTCCTGTAGGTCGGGTGCTTCAGAGTCACCAGGATTTTGGAAAACTCCACTTAGGATGCTTTTATTTATTTCCCTAACTGTTAAATCACATTTTTTGTAAGTTTTATTTGTCAATGTGAGGACATGAGCTCAGTGTCTGTTTTGTGTGTTATCTCTGATGAATCCTCACATTTCCTTTTCTTCTCAGTTTATTCAAAGAGTTCCCACAAAGCCTGAATCATTTCCCCAAGTTTGATGGCATGTCCCAGGCTGACCTGGCTAGTAATGGAGATCTCACTGCCCAGGGTGTCACTGTGCTGACGAAACTGGGTGAGGTGCTGAAGACCAGAGGCAACCACGGTGAAATTATTAAAAATCTGTCCAAATCTCATGCCAATCAACACAAGGTCCCCATTGGTCACTTCAAGGTGAGGATGATGTATATGAAGGAAAATGTAATCTGTTAATCTGCTGCATTAAATTTTTTGTGTCCTCCAACTTGAATTTAAAGCAGTTTGTGTGATTATCTTGGTATTTCCTCTCCAGGTGATGGCAGAGATTCTTGGTAAAGTCATGGAGGAGAAGGCAGGACTCGATGGTCCTGGGCAGCAAGCCCTGAAGAGACTGATGACTGCTGTCATCGCTGATATTGAGGCCAACTACAAAGAGCTTGGCTTCAGCGGGTGAAGATTAAAGTTAGGATAAAGTCATGCCAGGGGCAGGTGATAGAAAAAAAAAGATTGAGTTTTATTAAATAAATCAAATGGTGTAATCATCTGTAAACAACTAATCTTCAATGAAATGAAATTCATCATGGCAGACTGATGACTAACAACAAGCTGTTACTCTTTGGCACATATTACCAATAAAATCCTGTTACTCTACACTGTTTATTATTTTTTTTCTAGTTTTATTACTTTCCTCAAAATTAAAAACACACACTAAACATATATTTTGGGGATTATCCAAAACTGCAGGGATTTTGGTGGTATATTAAACGTGAGACAGTCATTCTAGATTCTGATTTACTGATTTTCTGAATCCACTTATATTTTGGAATATATACCGAGAGGTATACTCTGTGGGAATGACTTTTCTCAAGGGTTTTATTGTCAGTTGCAGGGAAAATTATAACTAGTTCTGGGTTGCAAAATCTACCGCCTGAGACAGAGACAAATGACTGCACAATTGGAGATGAAAAAGTTTCCCTCTTCAGAACTTGATGATTGGCATTTGAAAATGTTAGATGAGTTTGATGAGACTGTGTGTGATCAGTGTAATATACTGGTAATAAATAAAACTTTTCAAAAACACACACTGTTTTATTAATCACCTCCTGAATCCATATGCTGAGGGTAATAGAGTTATAAATCAGATCTGTTGAACTAATTAATACTCAGTATAAATAATAAAGTATGAGAGAAATTATTTCTTGGCTAAAACTCGTAGTCTGGAAGCCAATCCAGCATCTGACAGTCCAGATAGGAATCAGGCCAAGTCTAAAAGTAACATTTAGTGTCTTGACACACACACACACACACACACACACACACACGCATGCACTCTCACGAACAAAGGCAAAAATACCACACGTTAAAAACCCCACTTGAACTCTGGATGTCCTCAAAGACCCTCATGCACAGTATTAGCTGTCAGTTCTTAGTCACCTGATCCAATGCATGTGTCCCTTATTTACACCTCTCATCTTTTCAGTTATATTACAGTCCATTCAATGAGAGGTTAATCTCACAAATAAACTTGTGACCTTTAACCAGGAGGCCACTCTTCGTTGACTGTGTAAAACCAAAAGTTAATGGAGTTATTTTGATAACAATATAGCGTGCTAGTATGTGAGGCATGGTGTGGCAGTGACGTATGCCGCATGATGTATGTTAGTTCATTTCAAGCCAAGCAATGATGGTTTTTTCTGAGCCTAACCACATGCTTTTGTCGCTTAAACCTAAGGAAATAAAACTAAAAACAAAGTGTTTATGTACATTGTAAGTCTATTTTTAAAAGAGCAGAAACTGTTAATTTCCTGTGAAAACAGAATGGTATATAGTAAAGACACAGTGCAACTAACAAGCATAAATTGACACGCGGTCCTCGAACAAATGAAACTGACAAACCATACCTACCACTTCATAATTTGGCATACACGTTCACTTACAACGCTCATCCTAACTGACAAAGTTATGCTTTGCCCCCAAATTGGAGACCAACATTACTTACTTGAAGAGGTTGTGACACGCTTATATTTTTAGGTGATATAGTGATATGTGAAACTAGACAAGCTTAGGCATCCCTCGGTTCCAGTCATGTTGACGTGGGCTAAACAACGCTGCTTTTGGTGAGGGAAAAACTGTCATGACTAATTTGAGCACTGAAAATGTATGATGACTTACTGTAAATGTGTAAAAAGAGAGTGAAAGTGCTGGTATTTGTGTTTTCATTCACATTCACATTCAAGGACTCCTTATTGTCCTTCAAGTTTATGCCTTAACAATGTTTGGTTGTATGACAGATAATTGCCATGATAATAACCTAACTATGAATAGCATTTGTGTGTGTGTGTGTGTGTGTGTGTGTGTGTTAGTACATGCATGCAGACGTGACACCAGGCACAGTGCCTCCAGTCACTGGCGGGGGGGGGGTCTGAAGTCTGACCAACTGTTGACAGAACAGAGGTCAGAACACTTACAGATATTCAACAGGACAGAGGACTTGGGTATAATCTGTGAAACACAGGACATTATTTTCATTTTAAATGAGGAACAGTCAAGGGGCTCATACCACATGTATTCTTGATTTTCTAAAATCTACAAAGTGATATTTTAAAGCTATAGTGCGTAACTTCTATAGGTCCGTAAATGTCCGTTTCAGCCAAGCCACTACTAGAGGAGATGACACAATGCTGATTAAGCCGATCGGCTCCTCTAACATCTCGTGGTATTTTTCAATATATATCATTTTTAGTTTGCGTGTCGACCGGCGACATTGCCGCGCTGGTGCACAGGAAATGCTTCCTCACAACAAGAAGGGAGGGGGAGGAAGAGCGGAGAGTGTCATAGCAGAGGTAGAGCGCAGGTAGAAAGAGAAAGCAACGTGGTGGAGAAGCGGCCGAGACACAGTTCAGAAGTGGATCCTACCACAAAGGCAAGTGTTACTCTGTGTACATGGAAGTGCCGCCGGCTTATTAGTTGTAATAACGCATTATCCGCTGGGAGGCGACAGAAGTTACGCACTATAGCTTTAATATACATCTTGGATCATGAAATGTTTGTCTCCTTAGCTTGGATGCCCAGTGGCACTATACAGCTGAGAGTGGGGTTGGGTCATATAGTTAAAAATCATTGTTCTATCATTATTATTTTCAGCATCACTATTTCAACAAGATTT